TACCACAAACATAATGTCTGGCCGAGTGGCTGTGAGATACATGAGGCTCCCCACGATCTGTTTATAAAAGGTGCTATCAACCTTCTCACCAGTTACATCTTTTGTTAGCTTGGTGCCTGGAACAATGGGATTATGCACTGGATTGCAATTCTCCATTCTAAACCTTTCCAACACTTCCTGAGCATATCTTTTTTGACAGATAAATATTCCATCTACCTGCTGCAATACCTCAATTCCGAGAAAATATCTCATCTTACCAAGATCGGTCATTTCGAACTCATTCATCATGGACTGTTTAAACTTAATGAACATGAATTCATCATTGCCAGTGTAAATGAGATCATCAACATAAAGACAAACAATGAGAATTTTACCTCCATCTCCAACTTTGATGAATAAAGTGTGTTCATAAGGACACTTCACAAATCCTTCCTTCGAGAAATAAGCTTCTATACGACTATACCAAGCACGAGGGGCTTGTTTAAGTCCATATAAAGCTTTCCGTAATTTGTAAACTTTCTGCTCCTTACCTCTCTGCACATATCCAGGTGGCTGTTCTACAAACACCTCTTCATCAACTTCTCCATGTAAGAAGGCACTCTTCACGTCCAACTGATAGATTGTCCATTCCTTTTGAGCAGCAAGTGCAACAACAACTCGGATGGTATCTAACCGAGCCACAGGAGCAAAGACTTCAGCATAATCAATCCCATATTCTTGAGCATACCCCTTAGCCACCAGCCGTGCTTTATACTTGTCCACCTCTCCATTCTCATTCAGTTTAGTCTTGTAGACCCATTTAACTCCAATTGTCTTCCCTCCTGGAGGTAAATCTGTCAATTCCCAAGTGTTGTTCCTCTCGATAGCTGCTATTTCGATATCCATAGCTTTCCTCCATTTTGCACTCTTCACAGCTTCATTGTAATAAATTGGATCACTGTCTGCTAAGAGAGCTAAATGCCCCATGTCGTCTTCATCAGATAATCCCTCTCCTGTCACGTAATCTCTCATCCATACTGGTGGAGCCCTAGATCTTCTTTCTGCTGGACTGGATATGTTTGCTTCTGAGACTTCGTCTGAACCACTATTATTGCTTGTGCCACTTCCATCTCCATGTGGTTCATTTTCATCTCCTCCCTGACTGTCAACTTCATCAGTCTCAAGTTCCTTATCTGCTTCATCGTCCCATTCCAAATCTGCTATGACATCTTCATGATGATGCTCATCCCAATCCCAGCTACTATTCTCATCAAATCGTACATCACGACTGATTAGAATCCTCTGCGAGATTGGATCAAATAGCCGATAGGCCTTTGATCCTTCACTTATCCCAAATAGCACACACTTTCTACTTTTATCATCTAGCTTGGTCCTCTTGTTATCTGGAATATGTACGTATGAAATGCAGCCAAAAACCCTGAAATAACTTACAGATGGTATCGTACCACTCCATGCTTCCTCAGGTGTTTTGTTTTTAACTGCAAATGTGGGACTCCTGTTGAGCACATGAACTGTCCAGTTTGCTGCTTCTGGCCAAAAAATCTTAGGCATGTTCTTCTCGGTTAATAAGCTACGTACCATATTCATGATGGTCCGATTCTTGCGCTCAGCTACTCCGTTTTGCTGCGGGGTGTAAGCTGCTGTCAATTGTCTTTGAATCCCATTCTCAACACAGAACTCATCAAACTCATGTGATGTGAACTCCCCACCACGATCCGTGCGCAAGCTTTTAATACTTGCATCAGTTTCATTTTCAACTAGACTTTTGAAGGCTTTAAAACTTCGAAAGGCTTCTGACTTCTCAGTTAGAAAGTAGATCCAAGTCTTACGGCTGAAGTCATCGATAAAGGTGAGGAGATACCTTTTCTTACTGTTAGACGTAGGTTTGATCGGTCCACAAATATCTGCATGGACGAGTTGTAGGATTTGGCATGCTCTCCAGGTGCTTCTTTTTGGAAACGGATCTCTTGGTTGCTTTCCTACCAAGCAATTCTCGCACACTTTTGAGGAGTCCTTTATTTGAGGCAGTCCACTCACCATCTGATTCTGTTGTAGAGTCTTTAAACCACCAATACTCAAGTGCCCATAACGGCAGTGCCACAACTGAACTAGATCATCTGTGAGAGCATTGAAACATGCTTGATCATTGGGCTGATATTGAGCAGCCAGAATGAACATGCGATTTGTAGTCATAACCGTCTCCATGATTAATCCTTTCTCAGGGTGATAGATCTTGCACTTCCCATGTTTAATGAGAATAGCAAGACCTTTCTCCTGAAGCTACCCAATACTTAGCAGATTATTCTTCAAAGCAGGTACATAGAACACTCATGTGATCACCTGAGTCATGCCATTCACTTGTAGTCGAATATTTCCTTTCCCCAGGACAGCCATACTCGTATTGTTCCCTAGTTTCACAGTTTCTCTAAAACTTCCAACAAATTCAGAGAACAACTCCCTCTTACCACACATATGATTACTGCAGCCCGAGTCGAGGAACCAAATGTCTTCTTTGATCGCATGAGTATGCACATACGCCATTAGCAACATTTCTTCACTAGCCTCTGCATAGTTAGCCTTGGCTTCCCTGTCCTTCTTAGGGCACTCATACTGATAGTGCCCTAATTCATGACAATTATAGCACTCAACCGTTGACTTGTCGAAGTTCTGTCGACCTCTTCCTCTGCCTCTTCCACGAAAGCTTCCTCGACCACGTCCTCTTCCTCCAAAATTCTCTTCATAGGTCACCTTTAGTGCTTGTTCCTCTACGCCATGTCCAATCATCCGCTGCTCATGCACTAACAAGCTACTTTGCAGTTCATCAATTGAGAGAATATCCAAGTCTTTGGATTCCTCTATGGAACAAACCACATAGTCGAATTTAGAAGTCATCGATCTCAAGATCTTCTCAATGACTTCTACATCCGTCAACTTGTCACCGTTGATCCTTCTCTTATTGGCAATGGTCAGGGTCCGACCAAAGAATTCATTTACAGTTTCTCCTGGCTTCATGTGAAGCATCTCGAACTCCTTTCGAAGTGCTTGCAACTGTGCTCGTTTAACTCAAGCAGTCCCTTGATACTTCTGTTTCAACGAATCCCAAATCTCCTTAGCCGTATCTTTGTTCAAGATTGTTTCCAAAACAGCTCGATCGATTGCTTGAAACAGATAGTTCTTGGCTTTCAAATCTTTCAACTTTTGATCTTCGAACACTTTTCGTTGTCCCTCCGCAAGTGAAGCTCCTTCTGCTGCTGCAGGGATTCCATGCTCCACAAGACTCCAATATTCCTTTGAACGTAGGAAATTTTCCATAAGCATTGCCCAATGGTCATAATGCCCATCCAGTTTTGGAATAGATGCCTGCACAAAACCACTTCCTTCTCCTGCCATATTCTCGTACCTCTGCACTCAAAAGATTGCTATCTCTCAAGCTTTTGATCAGGAGCTCCAGGTGGGGGCTCTGATACCAAATGTTAAACCCTAGTGTTTGTCGAATGAGAACTTTGTAAGCTGGGAGGAATTTCACTTAATATTAAACAAAGAATAAGCAGGCTATATAAGCCTTACAAACGGAGGAAAAGATAAACATGCAACCCACGTTAAACATTATCCTAAACGTGGTATAAGACTAAGTCAAAAGGAAAACAACTTCTACTGATCCCTAAAAGCTAGGGTTTATTCGGCCATGCAGTTAAAACTGCTTACATTAACTAGGGGTGGGTTTGGTACGGTTACCGTACCAAACCCCTTGTACCAATTACCATACCAAACTTTCGGTTTAGTAAAATCTATTACCATTACCGTACCAAACTTTCGGTATACCAAAGTTCGGTATTGCCAAAAGTTCGGTTGGCATGGTATGGCAATGGTAATTGCCATTTTGTTTTGGAACAAAATCTGTTTTTGTTTTTTTAACCCAATTCAAGGGCAAAACTTTTTTTTTTGTTCCTTTATCTCATACATTATAGATTAAATTAATCTATTATTCATCATTCACAATTCACACACATAATAATTCAAATGATGCATCAAGATTCATCATGAAAATTAAGCTTACAATCCAAATAGAAGTTACGAATCAAAACAAATAGAAGTTAACAATCCAAATATAAATTAAAGTTTCAAACCAAATGAAAATTGGAAGTAAACTTCAAAAAGGAGAATTCATTGATCAGTTATTCAAGCTTAAGATGTCGAAGCTTTTTGGGAGAGGCATTGAACTTGTAGAAGATTGAGTTTGTGTCAAGCCTACATTACAAACAAAGAAAACATATTAATTAGTAGCAAGAAGAATTAAAGTTGAAAACCATTTAATAACAAATTTACTAAAAAAATTAAAGCATATCTTTCTTGTTTTCTCTTCTTCCATTTCCTTGTAAAATTGAAGCATATCTTCCGTTGGTTCCTTGTAGAAGTTTACTTCATCTGCCCTAAAGCCAACAACTAGTACGCACTAGTGCCTCCATTATTTTAGGAGTCAAGGATACCCTAAAGGGTCCACAACCCTCCTCCCTAGGCTAAATGCATTTTCACTAGCAAAAGTAGAAGTGGGGGTTACAAAGATATTTTGGCTATTTGTGAAATAATTAGGAACTCTTTTGTGTTTGGTTTCCACAATTTCAAGAGATCAAAGTCACCAACAACAATGCTAATATAAGTAGGGTTTTATTTTCAAATTATTGGAATATTATAAATATGTGTTATATAATTATCTATTATATAATTTCTAAATTATATATTATATTGTATTTTCGGTATGGTACGGTAATACCGTGGTAATAGTATTCATTACCAATACCGTACCATAAAATTTCGGTACGGTACAATACCGTACCATTACCGATTGGTACAAAAAATTTGGCACAACATCGGTATGGCACGGTTGGCAATTCGGTTGGCACGGCAATTTGGCAAAAAATCCACCCCTAACGTTAACAACCCGAAGTTTACGTAGTGGATAGAGCCACTACGTCCACTAACCTAATAATCTAACAGAATATACTCCGGCGTAGTTTTGCCGCAATATGCTGTAATTCAAAGAAGAAAAGACAAGCAACGCAATAATCCCATTCACCTTCCTTTCCACTTCCGTCGGGAAAAGTTTGGTCTGCCAACATCCATAACTGATTGATTCCAGTGATATCGGCTGACTGAATGCTCTGGATCTAATTTTGCTGCCAATTGGGACTCACTCTGTAAGTAAAACAACTGTGTGCTGCTATTGTTTCGCCACTTCAAATTTGTTCCCCTTTTGTTTGCCCACCAACCGTTTGTATCATTGTCTGAGACACGAATTCAAACTATTTATTACATACTTTCCTCCAAGGAGTTAAGACTTTGCTCAGCATATGCTCTCATGTAATATTTTTCGTCTCTCCGAAAACAGACATAATTGTTCAAATTCAAGAGGGATTGGCATTTGAAATGATAAAGAGTTGGGTTTTGCCTTGCAAGGTGTGTTTACCATATACGTCTTAAGAAACAAAGCAACAACATTGTCACATAATTTATTTTTTTGTCTTTGTATGCCGAGGTTTTCTAAATTTGAATTGCAACATAGGCATTGAAGTTTCCCTCATCAAATTTCGAAGGATCCAACCAGTTTCGGTGCAAAGGAGCCAAGATGGAGCTCACTATAACTCGCCCTGATGATTGGCACCTTCACCTTCGTGACGGTGAACTTCTGCAGGCGGTAGTCCCGCACAGGTTGATTTTCTTTGAAAATGCAAATACAAGCATTTATTTTCTGCTTCAAGCTGTAGTACTATTCTGATGTCAAATTCACCCCCAGTGCAAGTCATTTTGGAAGAGCAATTGTGATGCCTAATCTGAAACCTCCCATCACCACCACAGCTGCAGCTGTGGCTTATCGAGAATCCATCTTGAAAGCAATGCCTGCCGGTAGTGACTTCACACCACTTATGACCCTTTATTTGACTGATACCACAGAACCTAACGAGATCAAGCTCGCAAGTAAGTCCAACTCTAATACATGATATGCAGCTTTTGATGCCTGTCGTTCAGATTATAACATTCTTCAACTCTGGTCAACCCATTTGCAGTTTGCTACCTATTTCTACTATTTGTTTTCTTTGAGTATAAGAATTTGATAGATATTTTGAAATAACTCAGTATGTAATTGATTGGCCATGAATTCTAAACAATTAACTTTTCGTTCTCCTCTCTCTGTTTTAGCTTTTCTTTTGGGCTCTTTCTTTCTTGTTAGTTTTCAATAAGTTTCTATATCTGTTGGTTGTTAGATATCCCAGTGATGTAACATTTTTGGTTATGTAATGGAAAATTTCCCTCCAGGACAAGTTTACAAAGAACGAATTCCATTTATTTGTATAGTAAGATGCATGCAGGCCCTTTGTTCTTAGCTTTTCTTCTCCAGATGGCATGCTGTTATTGCTTTTGAAAAAAATTTCTTTTCCGTTCCCTTACTTTCTCTATGTTATAGTGTACCCTGATCATTTTGATTGCATTGACAGGAAGAAGTGGGGTTGTTTATGCTGTGAAGTTGTACCCTGCTGGTGCCACAACAAACTCTCAAGATGGGGTTACAGATCTCTTTGGAAGATGCCTACCTGTCCTTGAGGAGATGGCTGAACTTAATATACCTCTGCTGGTATTCTTGCTGCCTAAAAAACTTCAATTACTTTCTTTATCCTTGCCCATACCTGTGTAAATGGTGGTTATGGAGCTTGCAGGTTCAATTACTTTCTTTATCCTTGCCCATACCTGTGTAAATGGTGGTTATGGAGCTTGCTCCTGCATTGTTTACCTCTCTCTCTCTCTCTCTCTCTCTCTCTCTCTCTCGTGTTTTCAACTGAAATCGAGGACATGAAAAGAAATTCATCAGAGCATTTATTTGCTTACAGTTATTGTGTGGCTGGTCAGCATGGTTTTGTAGACAGCTCTTCACCCTAATTTCATAAGTTACAATTAAGTCAAATATAATCTTCCCTCATAATCTATAGCTTTATGAAAAATCAGACACCACCAAGCCAATGTGATCATCTCTGTAATTATATCAGAGGATGTTAATTATAGGAAGATATGGTTTATTTGGGGTTTTTCTTTGTCATTGTAGGATGGTCTATATATAAGCCTTATTGTAGTAGACTGGTACAGTTGTGGAGATTTTGGCATATTGATTTCAGAATCAATAAACAGTTGGGTTTACTTTGTCTATGTTTCTCCCCTTCTCTCTCCCATCTCTCTTTCATCTCTTAACTTCTGTACTTTTCCTCTCCCCTTTCTACTTCCCTCCCAATCTCTAAAAGTTGAAAAGAAGTGATGTATGTTTGTGCTACCTCAGTACCCAAATAAAATGTGTAATACGTAGTAGACAGAAAATAAAAGCTTTCCAGTGCTCCAACTTTACAGCATATAAAGTTTAGGCTGATTTTAAGCCAGTAATTGATTGATTGTTTAATAGTAAAGTGAGCTATAGGAAAAGTACAACCTATAACGAATTACATGTTGTACTTCACAGCATGTTTTTTCCCAAAAATTTGAAAAGAAGCGATGTATGTTTGTGCTACATCAGTACCCAAATAAAATGTGTAATACTTAGTAGACAAAACATAAAGGTTTCCAGTGCTCTAACTTTACAGCATATAAAGTTTAGGCTGATTTGAAGACGGTAGTTGATTGATTGTTTAATAGTAAAGTGGGCTGTAGGAAAAGTACAACCTATAACAGATTACATGTTGAACTTCACAGCATGTTGTTTTCCTTGATAGTTGTATTGTGCGTTCAATGTGTGAAGACATGATCTTGAATTACAGCTTTGATATGCATGTGCTATTTTTTTTAGGTTCATGGGGAGGTTACAGATCCTGATGTTGATGTATTTGATCGTGAAAGGGTCTTCATTGACACTGTTTTAAGACCATTAATCCAAAGGCTTCCAAAGCTAAAGGTCGTGATGGAGCATATTACTACCATGGATGCGGCTAAGTTTGTAGAGTCTTGTGAAGAAGGTATGCCTTATCACTTAAATGATGACTTCTGCCATGCACCTTTACTTTCATCCTCTCATTTGGACAGCATATAGATTGCCACTTATTATCGTAATTCATTATTCCAGTTTGGTATTGGACATCCTAATTTCATATGGTGTGAATTTTCTAGGTTCTGTAGCAGCAACTGTTACTCCACAACATCTTCTTCTGAATAGAAACTCCCTTTTCCAAGGAGGATTGCAGCCTCATAATTACTGTTTACCTGTACTCAAAAGAGAAATTCACAGTAAGTTCCATTTAACAGCTACACATCTTCATGCAGAATTGCTGCATGTTGTAAAACCACATGATTCACTCATGATTTATAAAAATAAAAATAGTTTTGTAGCACTCTCTCTCTCTCTCCCAGTATGTGCGTGGAGCTAGTTTATTATTTCTCTTTTTTTTTTTTCTGAGAAGATTTTATTATTTCTCATATAGGACAGGCTATTGTGTCTGCTGTTACTAGTGGAAGTAAAAGATTTTTCATTGGAACTGATAGCGCTCCTCATGAGAGACGTAGAAAAGAAAGTGCTTGTGGATGTGCTGGTATATACAGTGCTCCTGTTGCTTTATCATTATACGCCAAGGTCTTTGAAGAGGTAAGAAATTTGGATCTGCTTCTTGTTTGCACTTACATTTCGTTTCCTGTCTAATTTGATCAGAGAACCCTCATTAGAGCGAAAGAAGTCCATCCTTCACTTAAATTGTTATATGGATGCTTTCTTTATTGCCTACTTGTGTCATGACTCATTTGTTATCGGTGGTGTCTACAAAGGGGGGCAAAACATAATCTTATATTAATATATCCATTTAGCTTTCATTTGTTTCAGATATGTTCCAGCTTGCTCATATTTGTGTATGTACTATGTAGTTTGTCAACTGTTGACATTCTTGAGTTTTATTGATACTACAGTAGGACATATAATGTAGAGGTCGCACTTGGTGCGATGGCAAGTGCCTTCGCCCATGAGCGGTAGGTCTCGGGTTCGAGACTTGGGAGCAGCCTCTCCATAAAATGGGGGTAAGGCTAGCCGACATTCACCTCTCCTAGACCCTGCGTAAAGCGGGAGCCTTGTGCACTGGGTACGACCTTTACAATAGGACATATAATATGTCACATATTTTATGCTAGCTGTTCATATTTATGTTCAGAGTGGTATTAGTGTCCGACTAATGGCTTGCATTTTCTTAGTTTTTTCACATTTGGACCTTACCCTCTACAAACCCAGGGCTATTTCTCCCTTGTCTATTTAACCTTCTCCGATATTGAATATTTTTAGCGACCACATTCTATTTGGACTTGTTGAGAGTATATAACAGACCGAATAATCACATGTTAAGCTTAACAGCCACATCCTCCCATGTCAACCAATATAAGTTTTCCACGTACTTGGCTCAAGTGTCGGCATACGTTAGGGGGCATGTTGAGTGTATATCTTGTATCGAAATTGCCATTACCATTTGGTTTTGGGGTTATTGCTCTAGCAATAGAATTTATAGGCTGATATTAGTCTCTGTGTGGCTGTGCCCATTGGCTGAGGGCGGATGTGCTCCCCCTGCGCACATGAGTTTGACCATTATTTAGATTAGTTTAAAATCGTATATTGCTTGGAAAAAAAACAAGAACTCATAAAAAGACATGCACTTAGGTGGAGAGATCCCAATTTTTTTAAATGCTTGGAAGGTCTATTATTAGCCGACCCCACTTAGTGGGAAAAGGCTTTGTTGTTGTTGTTGCTTGGAAGGTCTATTATGGAAAAGAAAGAAGCGTGGATTTGTTCTACGGTTGACGGGGACTTTTATTATCAAATTATGGTGGTAAGTAAGAGGCACTAAGGGGAGATTTGTTCCAAGGAAGATGCCGCCGGCCCATTTGAGTTTGAGTAGAAAGTTGTTCAAATTACTCTGCCTGCGGTTTATATGTAATGCAAGAGATAAATACTCAAGAAAAGTTGACTTTAGTCTTCTGATATTTGTTACATTTGCTACTGCTAATAGGTTTGCATGTTTCAGGCAGGTGCTATTGACAAGCTAGAAGCCTTTGTAAGCTTTAATGGCCCAGACTTCTATGGGCTTCCTCGAAACACGTCGAAGATAAAGCTGAGCAAGAATTCATTTAAGGTACCTGATTGTTTCTCTTTTCCGTTTGGAGACATTGTTCCGATGTTTGCTGGAGAAACACTTGAATGGCAGTCATCCATCAACTGATTTATCTGACAAGCCATGCCGTTGAAATTTCGGATGTTAATTATTCATCTTTGTACTAACTTGTACTCCTGCAGTGCTGGGATTTGGAACTAGATACTGAACCAGCATAGGATGTGAGGTTTTAACGTAAAACTGATAACGCGTATTAAATGTTTGACACATCTTCAGATTCTGCAGATTGCCACTGCATTCCCATTCAATAAATGAAGTCCGGAACCATTTCTGGAGAAATTTCATTCATTTGTAGAACGTTAAAATGATTTTTTTCGTAATGCCTGTATACAATTAAATCCGTGTTTGTAAATTTGGTTTAAAGATACAAGATTTTGGAGATCAGGGTAGCTGAATGTGCGTTCTTCAGGTTATATTAGATGGGAAAATTGTATTAGAAGATGTAAATAGTTTATTTATTTTCAACTTTTATTTCACTTTAATTGAAAGTTTTATTTCTTTTTTATTCTTCGGATGGCAACATTCGGACAACTCTTTTAGCATGGCGATGAATATGGGTAAATTCTTCAAGAACATATGACTAATGAAGCACATATTCAAATTTTAATGCAACGATAAATTGACGGAAACTGGATAGAATAGCTTGGAATCTTACAATAGAGAGGAGGGGAACTTGGAATTGGCAGCTTCTAATGAGTTTAAGGACATACATTTCCAAAAATAGTTAGAAACATAATTTTTGCTTCACAGATAATTCAAGAACCAAATCGATATCTTCTAATGGTAATTAGTAATTTGTTAGCTGGTACGTGACTATTGACAAACATTAGGTAAAGGATTTTAGTAATAAGACTAAAGGTCAGTTTGGAATTGCTATTACTTTTAAATAAATTCAACACGGAGGCACCTAAGTAGGCCTGGCAATTCCTGACACGACCTGATAACCCGACACGACACGACCCGAAATTAACAGGTGTTCGAGTCGACACGATAACGAATCGGGTATTATCGGGTAACCCGATAAGCACCTGTTAAGATAACGGGTTGGTTCGGGTATACACGTGGGTAACACGATACACGATAAGCAGAATATTAATTTAATAATTTTATAACCCTAAAAAATACTATAATAATTATACCCCCAAAATATTAACTATAATAATTATATATATATATATATATTAAATTTTATACCCCTAAAAAAACAATAATAATTATACGTACAAAATAAATAGATTTAAATCTACATAATAAATATATATATATACACCATTGAACTTGATGGGATATACGAAACTAATTTCAACGATCAAACCGTCAAACTTGTTTGTATATGCTTCGAGATCGCATACGCCAAAAATCACAAAAAACAAACATTCAGAGATCAAGTAATGAGACAAAACTTTTCGACGGTTATAAAACAAAAAATCACGAATTAACGGTTATTTTAACTTCGATTTTGATGATTTTTTACAACTACACTTGTTGACCCTATACGAATACAATGAATGAATTCGATCGTCAATTTAAAATATTTACACAATTGGATACCACAAAATCTTATGTTATACTTAATGAAAGTATAAATAAACTCCAAGTGTTAGTGAATCTATCGTTTTGATGGGATACGAATTCTATGAAACTAATTTCAACGATCAAATCGTCAAACTTATTTGTATATGCTTCGAGATCGCATACACCAAAAATCACAAAAAACAAACATTCAGAGATCAAGTAATGAGACAAAACTTTTCGACGGTTATAAAACAAAAAATCACGATTTAACGGTTATTTTAACTTCGATTTTGATGATTTTTTACAAGTACACTTGTTGACCCTATACAAATACAATGAATGAATTCGATCATCAATTTAAAATATTTACACAAGTGGATACCACAAAATCTTATTTTATACTTAATGAAAGTATAAATAAACTCTAAGTGTTAGTGAATCTATCGTTTTGATGGGATACAAATTCTATGAAACTAATTTCAACGATCCAACCGTCAAACTTGTTTGTATATGCATCGAGATCGCATACGCCAAAATCACAAAAAACAAACATTCAGAGATCAAGTAATGAAACAAAACTTTTCGACGGTTATAAAACAAAAAATCACGATTTAACGGTTATTTTAACTCCGATTTTGATGATTTTTTACAAGTACACTTGTTGACCCTATACGAATACAATGAATGAATTCGATCGTCAATTTAAAATATTTACACAAGTGGATACCACAAAATCTTATGTTATACTTAATGAAAGTATAAATAAACTCTAAGTGTTAGTGAATCTATTGTTTGGATGGGATACGAATTCTATGAAACTAATTTCAATGATCCAACCGTCAATCTTGTTTGTATATGCTTCGAGATCGCATATGCCAAAAATCACAAAAAACAAACATTCAGAGATCAAGTAATGAGAAAAACTTTTCGACGGTTATAAAACAAAAAATCACAATTTAACGGTTATTTTAACTTCGATTTTGATAATTTTTTACAACTACACTTGTTGACCCTATACGAATACAATGAATGAATTCAATCGTCAATTTAAAATATTTACACAAGTGGATACCACAAAATCTTATTTTATACTTAATGAAAGTATAAATAAACTCTAAGTGTTAGTGAATCTATCGTTTTGATGGGATACAAATTCTATGAAACTAATTTCAACGATCAAACCGTCAAACTTGTGTGTATATGGTTCGAGATCGCATACGTAAAAAATCACAAAAAACAAACATTCAGAGATCAAGTAATGAGACAAAACTTTTCGACGGTTATAAAACAAAAAATCACGATTTAACGGTTATTTTAACTTCGATTTTGATGATTTTTTACAAGTACACTTGTTGACCCTATACGAATACAATGAATGAATTCGATCGTCAATTTAGAATATTTACACAAGTAGATACCACAAAATCTTATGTTATACTAAATGAAAGTATAAATAAACTCTAAGTGTTAGTGAATCTATCGTTTTGATGGGATACGAATTCTATGAAACTAATTTCAACGATCAAACCGTCAAACTTGTTTGTATATGCTTCGAGATCGCATACGCCAAAAATCACAAAAAACAAACATTCAGAGATTAAGTAATGAGACAAAACTTTTCGACGGTTATAAAACAAAAAATCACGATTTAACGGTTATTTTAACTTCGATTTTGATGATTTTTTACAAGTACACTTGTTGACCCTATACGAATACAATGAATGAATTCGATCGTCAATTTAAAATATTTACACAATTGGATACCACAAAATCTTATGTTATACTTAATGAAAGTATAAATAAACTCCAAGTGTTAGTGAATCTATCGTTTTGATGGGATACGAATTCTATGAAACTAATTTCAACGATCAAACCGTCAAACTTGTTTGTATATGCTTCGAGATCGCATACACCAAAAATCACAAAAAACAAACATTCAGAGAACAAGTAATGAAACAAAACTTTTCGACTGTTATAAAACAAAAAATCACGATTTAACGGTTATTTTAACTTCGATTTTGATGATTTTTTACAAGTACACTTGTTGACCCTATACAAATACAATGAATGAATTCGATCATCAATTTAAAATATTTACACAAGTGGATACCACAAAATCTTATTTTATACTTAATGAAAGTATAAATAAACTCTAAGTGTTAGTGAATCTATCGTTTTGATGGGATACAAATTCTATGAAACTAATTTCAACGATCCAACCGTCAAATTTGTTTGTATATGCTTCGAGATCGCATACGCCAAAAATCACAAAAAACAAACATTCAGAGATCAAGTAATGAGACAAAACTTTTCGACGGTTATAAAACAAAAAATCACGATTTAACGGTTATTTTAACTCCAGTTTTGATGATTTTTTACAAGTACACTTGTTGACCCTATACGAATACAATGAATGAATTCGATCGTCAATTTAAAATATTTACACAAGTTGATACCACAAAATCTTATGTTATACTTAATGAAAGTATAAATAAACTCTAAGTGTTAGTGAATCTATCGTTTGGATGGGATACGAATTCTATGAAACTAATTTCAATGATCCAACCGTCAATCTTGTTTGTATATGCTTCGAGATCGCATATGCCAAAAATCACAAAAAACAAACATTCAGAGATCAAGTAATGAAACAAAACTTTTCGACGGTTATAAAACAAAAAATCACGATTTAACGGTTATTTTAACTCCGATTTTGATAATTTTTTACAACTACACTTGTTGACCCTATACGAATACAATGAATGAATTCGATCGTCAATTTAAAATATTTACACAAGTGGATACCACAAAATCTTATGTTATACTTAATGAAAGTATAAATAAATTCTAAGTGTTAGTGAATCTATCGTTTGGATGGGATACGAATTCTATGAAACTAATTTCAATGATCAAACCGTCAATCTTGTTTGTATATGCTTCGAGATCTCATATGCCAAAAATCACAAAAAACAAACATTCAGAGATCCAGTAATGAGACAAAACTTTTCGACGGTTATAAAACAAAAATCATGATTTAAGGGTTATTTTAACTTCGATTTTGATAATTTTTTACAACTACACTTGTTGACCCTATACGAATACAATGAATGAATTCGATCGTCAATTTAAAATATTTACACAAGTGGATACCACAAAATCTTATTTTATACTTAATGAAAGTATAAATAAACTCTAAGTGTTAGTGAATCTATCTTTTTGATGGGATACAAATTCTATGAAACTAATTTCAACGATCAAATCGTTAAACTTGTTTGTATATGCTTCGAGATCGCATACGCCAAAAATCACAAAAAACAAACATTCAGAGATCAAGTAATGAGACAAAACTTTTCGACGGTTACAAAACAAAAAATCACGATTTAACGGTTATTTTAACTTCGATTTGCATATTCTTGCACATTTAACTTCGATTTAACGGTTATGACTCTTTCATTTTGCATATCCTTGCACATTTAATATTTTGTAATAGACTAGTGTATGGATGTTTTTTAATTAGGCTCTTATTTTCGAGTGTAGATATAGTACTTAAATGACAAATATGTTTTAATGTTTTGAAGTAATATTTATGTGGTAATGTGTGGTATGTGCAAATTTAAGAAAAAAATATATTTTTCTTAACGGGTCATAACGGGTCGGGTCACTTTACCAGTTGGGTAAAGTGACCCAACCTGTTAAGGACCCGTTAAGATAACAGGTGTGACACGACACGACCTGTTAAGATAACAGGTGTTACACGAAAACGACACGAACACGACAGACACGACCCGCTTGCCAGGCCTACACTTAAGGCCACTTGCGGCGCCTCGGGAGGGGGAAGGGGGGCAGCTGCCCCTACTGAAGTTTTGTGTAGTGAAAATATGCTTACAGAACTTCAAGTTATCGTATTTAAGTATTTCGATTGATTAGTTGTATAATAAACTATCATTGTGAAAAAATGTCTACAAGTTAGCTTAATGAAATTTGAGAAGAAAAAGAAATGCAATGAAATTATAGAATAAACTCTACTATCATGAATTTTCTTTTTTACATATAAAACAAGAGGTTAAAATCGCTCCCAAAATTTCTAACTCCGTATTTGTTTATGTGTCAAAATATATGTTTTTGACGCATTTAGTAAATATACCATTTTGTAATGTGCATAAGAAATATGAACTCCTTACTCTCTACTCAAAGAGTAGGGTCAGCGGGTACTCGTGCTAAACTACTCGTCATCCAAATTACATCAGCGCAGCGCACTACTCGTCATCCAAATTACATCAGCCATATGAGAGATTTTTTAATGTGATTAGATCATGTGGTTGTATATTACGTGTTATTATACAAATGAAAAAATATGGGTGTTAAAAAATTAATAATTTAAAAAATAAAATTTTCTATAACTTACATATAAAAACATGTGGTATACATTCATATTCCAATCACATTAAAAATTTCTCCGGCCATACAAGCAGAAAATTAAGCATGTGGATTTATTATATTAGCATGTTTTTAATTGTTACTGGGCCTACTGAGCATTCAGGAAGGACACGATACGCGGATGGGTGGGTGGGCTGTTCCAGTTTGCCATATATAGATGCATACGCGGCAGTTTGATTTTCTATTACGCGTTTATGAATTCTCCACGTTTTTAATTCTTATATAGTGAAATTTGTAAACAAAATTTTGTAAGCTAAATGACATATAAGTTGATAGTTGAATTATTATTCGAGCGTTGATAAATGTGTTTATTTTTATTGGTGACAAATCATTTACTTTGTAAATTTTATCTGTAAATTTGGTCTATCTTACATCACTCTAAGTTTCCATCTGGTTTTGTTGTTTTACCTATTCAGGAGGATCCTCACCGGATCCTCTAATTACATCTATTTATCGTATATCGTGCAGTAAAAAATTATTGTAAATTTTTTTATTTAAAATTTAATATAAATAGTACACGACAAAAAATGACCGTACAATATACAATGGATGAATGTGATTGAATGATCCCCGAAATCTTCATAAAGAGAATCCGGCGATGATCTCTTTCCTTACCTATAACGGCATTGATATTTTTGTCCTCCTCTTCCTCAAAAGGAGAGAAATGGTTGCCCAAAATAAAACGACAGAAACGTCTTCTTTATGTTTCTTCTAAGAATACTATATCAATTTCATTAAGATAAAATGATATTTACAAGATACATATTCACGATGAACAATTCTCAAAAGGATAAAAAATTGGACTAATATTAGATTAAATAACTTAACTATTACAGCCCATGTAGCGGATCTATTGAGCAAGATATTGAGTTGGAAATGTCCAACTGACTAGGAATTGAAAGATGAAGATAGTCAATCTATGAAGCTAATTTTATAAGAAGAAAATGTGTTTAACCTATGGTGTAACCAGTGGTGAAGCCAAGAATTGTTCGGAATGAGAGAAATTGGCAACCATGGCTATAGGAGTAAACACAGTTTGGTTCGGTGTGGTTTTGAGTGAAACAAAAATTAAAATCGAATTTTTTTGTGGTTTGGTTTGGTACGGTTTTGAAGCCAAAACCGAAATAAATCCAAACCATTTGATTTGGTTCAATTTCAAACTGTTTTGGCTCGGTTTCAAACCATTTACATACAAAATGAAAAAAAATCTCTTTACTTTCCTCTCTCCCCCCTGAACAACATTAGTATTTTAAAGAAAAAAAATACACAATTTCAAACCTTATTTCAAACCATTTTCAAACATTTTATGATGCAAAGTCAAGGTGCATATTCAAGCCTTCAAAGGACTTACACCCCAGTAAGGTAGCAAATGCCTTCTCATTCTGATAATATCACTCAAAGGCAGTAAATACCTGCAGTTAATTTGCAGCAAATAAAATTACTGCATTTTCTAAAGATAGTATGACATGAATGAATTAAAATTTGAGAAAATGGATGGTGAAATTACGAAACATGCTAGACAATAAAGACCAACAGATGCAACATAAACAAAAAAACCTTGACCCCAAAATATAAGTCACGCACACACACAAAATATTAAACAAATACAAAATATGGCATGCACACCCTAATTTAACCGACACCAATGTCATTCCTCTGCCTTTGATTACACACTCTAAACAAATCAAACAGACAAAGGCTACAAGTTTTAGAAAAGGTTAATATTTGTGGTGCGGTTCGGTTTTGATGTGGTTTTCAAAAGTCAAAACCGAAACCAAATCGTTTCTCTACATTGCGGTTTGGTTTCAAACCGAAATTGTTTCAAAATCACAAAACCAAACCGTTCGGTACAGTTTGATTTGGTTCGTGTTTCGATTTTGGTTTTTAGTTCTAAGTGCCCACCCCTACATGGCTATAGCCATGACAATGCCTAGCTATGGCATGATAACGTCAATCATGTGAACATGCCACACGGGGCCCCTCAAAAGTTGGAATGCAACGGTCTTTGCCATGACACTTTTTTAGCCTTATAATTTGAACGGTAATTTCAATCCAACAATCCCTACTTTTTAAAATAAAAATTAATCAAACATCGTTATAAAAATAAAAAAAACTTTTGAAAAAAAGAATCCATTAAGATTTGAAAAAATATATTTAATATTACAAAATTCTCATTGTTTCACAAAAAATTGAATGTAAACAATATCTGCCACGCCTGGTTTAATAAATGGAGAATGAATTAACCACCGTTGTTAACGTAGTTCACTACTGTTTAGTCCATTCATATGAAAAGTATCTCCCCAGATCTTCTAATAGCAATGAAATTGTGCTTACTATTCGTTTTGAAGAGTAATCGTTTTTGTGCAAATTTACTCGTTTAGAAAAAGGAAAGGCAAGAGTAAGGGAATTATTCACAAATATATATATATATATATATATATATATATTGTTTTTTTTTTATGTTTTATGCCTTGTACTAGTGTGCTTAATTAGTAAGTTTATTTTTTGAAAATAAAACTCCCTATTCAACCAACATGCAAAGGCTATTGGACACTGGTGAAGTTGCTCCACCTTGAGGTAAGGAGAAGCGTGGACCTAACAATTTGTTCCCCTACTTCGTCACATCCTTGCCAATAAAATGTTTTAATATCATGCGGAGGAAATTAGAATTCGGATATGACACTTTCTTACTGAATACAATACACCACAAACATTTTTTTTTTCTTCAAAAGGGACTGGTTGGTGGCTTTGCACACAGTCCAACATTTTAGGGGCAAATAAACTAACAGGCATTTCACCAAATATAGCACAAGTATTTACTTCACTAAAATTCACATATTATGGTATAGGCATTAGCAAGGGAGTAATTTTGGGTCTTACACTCTAAAACAGTGGAAAATAATTACTTTTAATTTGATTATTCACAATACATATTTATAACAACAATCAACAATGACTGAGTCTTATCTCATTAAGTAAGATCGGTTATATGAATCCTAAAATATTATTGCACTTGGTTTTGCCCGTGATAACCATGCAATGTTATAGCAGAAGACTTATGTAATACGGATCCATGTTATGTTGTAAGGACAGACTAATGTAATACAATTCTATGTTATGCAATATAAACCCATCTAATGTTAAAATGAAAGACCTATGTAATACAAATTTATGTTATAACAATCAACAACAACCAAACCTTACACTACAGATTATATAATGTTATAAAAATTAATAGCCAACTTAAGCTGTCACATCGTATATGTATGTTATATATTTTATAGGGTAAAATACTGTTTACTACCCTCATGTTTCATGGTTTTCAACATTTAGTGCATCAAGTTTTTTTCGTCTCAGAGTCATACCTAAAGTGTAAATTTTGGGACAGTCTCATACATCCGTTAGTCAAACTGTTAAATTTGCCGTTAATTGTGACGTGGCGCCCATGTGGACAATGACGTGGCGCCACGTGTCAGCCACGTTTTTTTTTTTCTTTCTTTCTTCTTCTTCCACCCGACTGCAAACTTTTTTTTTTCTTCCTCCTTCTCCTTCTTCCTTCCTCCTTCCTTCCCTTTCTTCTCCTTCTTCCTTCTTCTTCCTTCTCCTTCTCCTTCTCCTTTTTCTTCCTCCCAATCTGGGGATTTTTTTTTTCTCTTTCTTCTTCTTCTTCTTCTTCCACCCGACTGCAAACTTTTTTTTTTCTTCCTCCTTCTTCTCCTTCTTCCTTCTTCTTCCTTCTCCTTCTCCTTCTCCTTCTCCTTTTTCTTCCTCCGAATCTGGGGAATTTTTCTTTTTTTTCCTGCTTCCTTCTCCTTCCTCCGTATTCCTTCTTCTTCTTCTTCTTCTTCTTCTTCCAACGAATCTGCCCAGATTCGTTTTTTTTTCCTTCTTTCTTCTTCTTCTTCTTCTTCTTCTTCTTCCTCCGAATCTGGGGAAGTTTTTTTTTTTTCTTCTTCTTCCTCCTTCTTCCTCCTTCTTCCTTCTCCTTCCTCCTTCCTCCTTCTTCCTTCCTCTTCTTCTTCTTCTTCTTCTTCTTCTTCTTCTTCTTCTTCTTCTTCTTCCTCCGAATCTGCCCAGATTCAGCTTTTTTTTTTCTTCTTTCTTCTTCTTCTTCCTCCGACTGCAACTTTTTTTCCTTCCTTCTTCATTCTTCTTCATCTTCCTCAAAAAAAAAAAAAAAAAAAACCGAATCTGGGCAGATTCGGAGGAAGAAGAAGAAGAAGAAGAGGAGGAAGGAAGAAGGAGGAAGAAGGAGGAAGAAAAAAAAAAACTTCCCCAGATTCGGAGGAAGAGAAGGAAGAAGGAGAAGAAGGGGAAGGAAGAAGAAGAAGGGGAAGGAAGGAGAAGGAGGAAGGAAAAAAAAATGTTGCAGTCGGGTGGAAGAAGAAGAAGAAGAAGAAGAAGAAGAAGAAGAAGAAGAAAAGAAGAAAGAAAAAAAAAAAACGTGGCTGACACGTGGCGCCCAGTCATTGTCCACATGGGCGCCACGTCACAATTAACGGCAAATTTAATAGTTTGACTAACGGATGTATGAGATTGTCCCAAAATTTACACTTTAGGTATGACTCTGAAACGAAAAAAACTTGATGTACTAAATGTTGAAAATCATGAAACATGAGGGTAGTAAACAGTCTTTTACCCTATTTTATAATACATGATTTAGCTCAAATCTCACTCCCCTAATATCGTTGCATGAAAGCGACCCATTTTTGCAGTTTTGTTCAATGTACATAGTTAGTTCACCGGGGAAATAGGATTGATTAATTTGTTTCGTGGAGTACTTGTCAACTGATCCCATATTATTGCCACAGGCTCGAATTCGAAGTCCCAAAAGCCATCTTGCTGTAATTCTTGGTCGCTTTTGGATCCATTGACAAATCTATTAAGCTTTTCAGTTATTCTTGCAGCCCCAAAATCCAACACAGACTTGTGCATCTACATGAAATGAAAGCCAGATTAATAATCCAAATAAATATCCAAAAGTACTGATTCATGTCAAATATATTTTCTTGAGAAACAAACAGAGAAAAATTCAGTTACTTTTACATACCTCTGCACGTACTACATGAAATATAGTGTCTCCTAGAGTTGAAAAGCTAGCATGCACAACGTCCGCCTGTTCTTCTTCAAGTATTCGAATAATTTCGTAGAAGATGAACTGATGATTGTCTAAGCCACTAGTCAGTACTACCTCTACTGTGGAGCCTATCTCATGGATTTGGATTTGGGGTGCTTTTGTGCTCCTTACGCTCTCAATACTTAAGTTGTTTGGTTCCATGCTCTCAACATTTACGAATGACGTAGCATGTGATCTTTTTCTAGTGCCCACCAAACTCTCCTTCTTCTCCTTTGATTTCTGCAGCTTCGACTCTCTGCTTTTTATGTAGTTGATGGCCTCATCTATTTGTTCGGGCAGACTTAGTGGCTCCTGCATCACCACAGTATTCAACATTAGCTATGAATCAACCTAATCAGTGGCTCGGATTCTCAGTCCCACAAATGTAGTGTCTGACAAGAGAGTATTTTAGTTTCGTAACTGCGTAAACATGTGATCATGAGAGAGAGAGAGAGAGAGAGAGAGAGAGAGAGAGAGAGAGAGAGAGAGAGAGAGAGATAGAGAGATACCTTAGGATTTTGGTTAGGGAGGAGAGAGAAGAGGTTTGAGTAAAGAAGTTTCATATGATTTCTCCTATTCTTCTCTACAACCCTCCTTTCAACTTTGGTTGAAGAAGATTGACTTGCTTGGTTATTATTCATTTGATCTTTCTCTGGCAAGTTGGCCACAACTTCCAGTTAGCTCCTCTCTCTTAAAACTGGAAGGTAATAGGGTGGTTGATCATGGTATGTATTTATATATTATATATTTGCTCCATTTATAGTATGAAAAGTGCAACAAGGAATATGAACAAGTCTCTCCTCCGTGGACTCTAGTGATGTTGCAAAAGGAAATCAGAGGGTAGGGTCTGCGAGCAAGGTTACTTATCCAAGTTTACGTAAGCCCAACTGAATGGCGGAAAGGCAGCCGTCAAGTTTGAATTTGTTATGCAAAGTTGTCACGTGGATTTATTAGCATCTTCTTGGAAAGAGACAACCCCCCGGGTGGGGTTAACCCCAAACGCCCCCGTCAGGGTTTTTGTTTCATTTTTTGGCGGTAACTCAGCTTAAACACGATCAGGATTTTAATACTCACACTTTTATTAAACTCCTAACTAATTTCAATTCAAAATACTTTCAAAATAAATAAAAAATTAGAATAAGTTTGTACCCATTAACTTTATAAAAAATGTTTTCAATTTTTTAATCGTATATGCACCCCATTCATGTAATTTTTTTTCCAATTTTTAATCTTAAAATGTATCCATTCTTAAATATACCAATTTGTTATATGTAAAATGTACCATTTTTTATTTATATAAAATCTATTCAATTTTTTTCGAACCATTTTTAAACTTATATGGGTACGTTCTTTTCTTTTGATTTGAGAATGTATCTGTAACATCCCACATCGTCTAGGGGAGTGGATCCTCAAAGCTTTACATGTATATTCCTATCTCTACCTAGCACGAGGCATTTTGGGGACTCACTGACTTCGGGTTCCATCGGAACTCCAAAATTAAGCGAGTTCGCACGAGTGCGATCTAATGATGGGTGACCCATTGAGAAGTTTTCGTGTGAGTTCCCAAAAACAAAACCGTGAGGGCGTGGTCGGGGCCCAAAGCGGACAATATCGTGTTAAAGCAGAGTCAAGCCCGAGATGTGGTGGAGGTCCAGGCCGGGATGTGACAGTATCCATGTCAAGTTTAATCGAAGAAATTTACTAATGTTATTAAGCTTAATATCTATTACTTTTTTTTGTGTGGTTTTGAAGAAAGTACCCAGCTTTTTAAAAAATGGTTTCAAATTTTTAATCGTATATGCACCCCACCCCATTCATGTAATTTTTTTTTCCAATTTTTAATCTTAAAATGTATCTATTCTTAAATATATCAATTTGTTATATGTAAAATGTACCATTTTTTTATATAAAATTTATTCAATTTTTTTCGAACCATTTTTAAACTTATATGGGTACGTTCTTTTCTTTTGATTGGAGATTGTATCCATGTCAAGTTTAATCAAAGAAATTTACTAATTGTATTAAGCCTAATATATATATATATATATATATATTTTTTTTTTGTGGTTTTGAAGAATGTACCCATATTTTGGTACAATAATTTTTTTGTTAATTGTGATGAATGTACCCATTCTAATATTTTTAATCCCATAAATTATGGATTTTAAAAAAAAAAATCTCATTAGTATAAACAACTATAAATTCAATTTTTAATTTAAATGATCACATTAACTTTAGGGACTTCGATCAAAAATTGAAAACTAACAAGACTTCAGTAAAAAAAATATTAATAGTTAAGAACCACATCCAAAATCTTCTTTAAATTTATACAAAAAAAATACGTTACACGAAAAAGAGTGGAGACATGCAGTCTCCCAAGAACAGTGAAAATTCTTTTCTGTGAACGTGCATGCACTACATATTGTATTCTCCACGTTTTCAGTTGTTGTGTTGTGTAGCTAAAGTTGTCCAGACAAGGACAAAAAGGTGTCTTAAAATTTCTGTATACAATTCCTCTGTGTCACGTAAGCAATTGAGTATCTCTTGTTGCCATTATCATTTATGATCAATAATTCGTTACTCACGGAATGCAAGTGGTTAGATTAATCAGAGAAATTCGATCCACATGGTTCCATGGTTCAGTTGATATAGAGGCAACCCCCCCCAAAAAAATCATGATGATAATAATATTATCGTAAATGGTTACTTTTCAGGAGTGGAGAGCTAAAGCTTTGGATCAGATGATTTAAACCGTTAAAAGGAAAATAGTTTTAATTTTTTATTCTTGTGAGGTGGGTCAATGTGATAAATTATTAAGAACTAATGATAATAGATACTATTTAAATAGTACAACATTCATTTTGTGTGTTATAGAGATGCGAAATTTAGTGTGTTGTTATATTGTGATGAACTTAATCAATAATCCGTTTGACCAATGGTAATGAAAAGAGCAATGGAGTGGGCACTGTGCAGATTTCGGCGGGAGAAGCAAGACGTAGACTTAGACTTTGAAGTCTTTCCATTAACAACCACGACTGAATGTACGTCAAGAACAATCCATGAATACAGTGGGTTGTTAGGATATGAACCGTGTAGAACATCGGTGTAAGTTGAGTTTTCACCCAATTGTATTATGATATTTAGTTAACAGAGTCGTATTTCTAGCACACTGAAAAATTTCTCCTATTAGTTGGTATTCAAACCCTCATTCGTATGGACACTCTTTTATCACTTTTATTTTTACATAAACGCCATTTGTGAGAAAGCAAACTTGTTTTTTTTTTTTTTTTTTTTGATGCAAAGAAATTCATTAAAGCACGAAACTTTTAGTACAACCGTTTCCAATACAATCAAAATTAAAGGCATGAAGAGTAATATCAGGTAATCAGAAATCCCAATAATGATGAATCGAGAGGGAGAGACCAAGATGAGCTAAAGCATCCGCAACAAAGTTTTCCTCCTAGAAAATGTGCTTCCAGTCAACATGACTAAAAGACCAAGCCATGATACAAATATCATTGATGATAGAGCTGACTCTCCAAGGAATCCCCCAATGACCCTGCACAGCTTCAACGATGAGCTTAGAGTCCTCCTCCACCATCACTTTAGTGAAACCCTTGCGCCTAGCACACTGGAGCCCTTCTAGCAAATCCATCGCTTCTGCTACCGAAATAGTAGTGCCATCAAGATTAAGACCACTGCCTGAATCACCTGTGAATTACTATTACGGAGCACAAAGGTAGGAGTAGCACGGTTGTTCGAAACTGAACCATCAAAATTGAGTTTAATCACATCATGCTGCTCAGGAGGATGCCATTTAATAAAGGAAGAGATAGGTAAGGCCTCAGTGGGGTCACACTTCCCATTAGCCTTCAGAAAAGCCGAACTAACACTACCGGCGATAGAAACACAACGCGCCGGGGCCGGGGGCACACTTTTGAACACTAAATTATTTCTTTCCATCCAGATTTGCCAGCAGTTCAGAATTACTTTACTAAGATCAGAAGGGCCATCTTTGTCATTAGAACTTAAGGATTCCAATCAATCAAAAAAAATTATCATTAGTACTAATGTTACCAATATTAAAAATACCAAAAGTTGAGCTCCAGACTTTAGTAGCAAAAACACAATTACAAAAGAGATGACATTGATCTTCTTCAGCTATATTACATAGCGGACATAACTTATCAATATTTTTAACAAAATGACTTAAGTGTTTTCTGGTTTGCAATCTTTCCTGAATCATAAGCCAAGCAAACATTTTAATCTTAGGAGGAATAGTTATCTTCCACATTTTCTTTAACAATGTAAGGTGATTACTAGAGTGATTGTTCCGATTTTGTAGCCAGGTAGCAGACTTAGTATAAAATTTCTCATTATTGGTTAAACCCAAATTAACTTGTCCTTCGACTCTTGTAGAGGGAGGGGGATTCGACAAATTTTTCTAATGATGTCACCATCAACTACATGAGCATTCTTTAATGCTATCCCAACTATTATGAACTATAAAGTTGCTTACTCTAAGATTCCAATCAATATTATTTCTATCATTCATTGGAATTAAATGAAAAAATGGGGTAAGGAAAACCCCATTGATGGGTCCAAAAGAGTATGTCTTCACCATTATCCACAATCCATCTTATTCCCTCATGGATGATGTTTCTATTAGAAAGAATGTCTTTCCAAGCAAGTGAGTAGTTTTGTTTAATCTTCGATTTAAAAAATCAGACTTACGTAAGTATTTACTTAGACTATTTCAGCCCACCAATTTTTTTTTTGTTGGTTAAAGCTTTCCAACCTAATTTGGCTAAACAAGCATTGTTAAAATGATCAATCCGTTTGATTCCTAAACCACCTTGATTATTCGGAGAACAAACCTTCTTCCAAGCCATTGGTATGAGTTTAGAATTTCTCCCCCAAAATAAATCTTTGCATTCTTTATCAATTTTAGTTGTTACCCTATTGGGGCACTTAAAAAAAGACATTACATGATTCGGCATTCCGGTGAGACTAGAATTAATAAGAGTTAGTCTCTCGGCCTTGGAAAGGGTTTGCCCTCTCCAAGCGGCAAGTTTTTGCTTTACCCATTTAATTAATTCTATCTTGTTAACCAGATCCTTCCAAAAAACTATATTATGGATCCCTAAGTACTTCCCAATAGTGGTTTTATATTGAATGCTCAAGATATTCACAATATTGTTCCTATCTTGGTTGATAGTATTATTCAAAAATTTACCTATTGACCTGCAGCCAATGCAAACATCTTAGAGCTCATTTGGATATGCTTTTAAAATGACTGAAAGCACTTTTGGTGAAATTTTTTTTGAAACCAATCCTTAGTAAAAATACAAGTAAATTTTGAAAAAGCACTTAAAGTGCTTCTTCCATAAAGCACTTTAAGTGCTTTTGGAACCAAAAAATATTTTCTCTAAAAGCCTTTTAGTTATTTTAAAAGCACATCCAAACGAGTCCTTAAGGTTTTGAAGGACATTTCTAGCCCCTTAAGGGGTAGCTCGGGCAAAAAGAAGACAATCATCTGCAAAAACTAGGTTAGAAATTCTAAATCCCCCATGGGATGATAAGATTCCCACATGGAATTTAGGAGTAGAAGACAAACGATTAAAATGTCTAATAAGCGGTTCCATACATAAAATGAAAATGTAAGGTGATAAGTGGCCACCCTGTCGTATGCCACGTTTAGGATAGAAATAACCATGCGGAGAGCCATTAATTAAAATGGAGAAAGAAGTTGATGGAGCGGAGAGCCATTAATTAAAATGGAGAAAGAAGT